GCTGGGGACTGGACCACAGCCTTTGTCCACCGACAGATCCATTAAACAGAGGCAGAGGTCTCCTTCACGGGAATTTCATTGTTTATCTTTGCTGTTGTTTTTTTTAATATCTTTTTCTCAATAAATCTAACAAACAAACAAAAAAAAAAAACATTTGTTTTAGATCTATGTTTAAACAGCCCGGAGGGGGACTGGGGGGGGGGAGCGAAACTGTGTCACCATTTCACCTTAACCGCCAGTGAGCTAAAAGCCTTTTAATGTGGACCTAAGCTCCGTGACGACCCGCCTGAACACCAATACCAGAATCCGGATGATCTGAGTTCACAAAGGTCAAGCCGACGGAGACTGAAGCTATAATTAAACAAGTCTTTACCAGTTGCGGTGCTATTCTCCCCCCTCCCCCCCCCCAATCCCCGGCTCCGGGGGCAACTCACTTCCCATGTGACGTAATCGCGAGGAAATAATCCCGTACGGTGTAACTAAAGCGCTGGTTGTCATATCCGAGACCCATTTTATAACCCCATCCCTATTTAAAAGAATACAAAACCTTAAGATGTTACATTTACATCTTACTTTTGATCCCGTAAAACCGGAAGTCCCATTCTTTATGTTTCCCGCCATGATTCTTGTCAGAATAATAACTAACGCATTTATATATAAATATATATATATATATATATATATATTAATGTGTCCTTACTCTCTTCCATTATTATTATTTTTTTAAATAAATTTTTGGCAATCCAATATTAATGATAGTCTGATAGGTTTATGCTCCCTTGCGGTTAAACAAACAAGACTCTATCAATTATGACCCCCAAAATGTCAGCAACACAACATGTCATAAACACAACATGCCATGGTTTGGTTATGTCTGGTAAACGTCGGGTCTGATGACCATTTATGTTTTTAGTTACGCTTGTAATGTTTTCCTTGCCTGCAGTGACGGTTTTTTTTTTCTTCTTCTGTTGTTCATGAGCAGCCAGTGTGTGTGTTGTGTGTGTGCGTGTGTGTGTGTCTGTGTGTGTGTGTGTGTGTGCGTGTGTGTGTGCGTTTGTTACAGCATTTTTAATAGGATCTCGAATTAATTGTTAACGGGACAATAATATCTGCTGATATTTTACGGGACAATAACGTCTAGTGATATTTTATAATTTACGGGACAAGAGGGTCTAATGATCTTTTACGGAACAGTAGCGTTTTTGTGATAGTTTACGATTCAAAGGCGTATAGCGATCGTTTCGAGGAAACCAAGTAGCAGACGGGTTTTCGATTGCCAGAATGGTCCACAAAATTTTTTTTTGATGACTCATTGATTGCCAAAAATATAATACGATAGTTTATTGTTATTGGGTTTCATGTGAACACATAATTCACATATTTTTTTAGAAACCTCTAGTTTTAGCTTTGTTTAAATATTTGTCTCGCTTATATTATTAACCTAATAGTTATTGGTGTTATATATGTATATATATTTTATTTTTATTTGTTTAAAAATATGTTTTCAGTGCTTGGAGAATGTCGCAAGCCAAAGCTAGAAACCACATCCAGTTAAAATCAAAGACTCCACTCTATAATTGGGCATCACAGCTGGCTCCTCTAACAACGCGAGGTGCACAAAGCGTGTCATTCTAGCAGCGAAGCGCACCCGACCGGTTATCGCAAACTGCCATCAACACCGCCATGACATCAATACGGAGTTGAGAGAAATTTTGCCACCAAGATTTTTTTTTTTTCTTTCTCCCGACCCATGTTTATCGCCATACCCTGAAAGAAACCCGAGATGGCCGTTTCTCTAAATGGGGGGCGCCCATACACACACCGGGGGCCCGACGCAAAATTATTTTGTGGTTTCACATAATAGAAACCTCTGCTCGGGATTAGACTGGATTAAGGAGTTAGTGAATTCATGTAAAGGATGAATGGGACCGCATTACTTGGGATCTGACTCCCACCCCCATGAGACCTAGCACAATACGTTTGGTATACGGAAAAAAAAAGTCTTAATTCAGTATGTCAGAATGCGAATCGCAGGGAAAGGAGTTCTATCAATGGCAGAGAGTTTATCAGTATTCTCGGATTTTCTGAGGTAAATGATTGTTTTTTTTTTCTAAAAGTGTCTCTGATTTAGGCCTTGCGATGTAAAAAATAGAAATAAAATATTTTTGTTATAAAATGTAATTATGGGGTGGAGTTTTCTAACTTAAGTGAAAGCTGTAATGGATTGACATCATTTAGAGTTAAGAGTAGTAATAAAAAAATGTGAAATCGCAATGACAATGGCGTCATCCCAACTATCACCGCGATTCGTCATCTTTGTCGTCGTGTCTCTCGTCACGCATCTCCTCGAGCTCGCCGCTTGCGGTCTCTTCTGCCACATGCTGTTCCAACAAGGAGACCTCAAGGCGCCCTGGTTCAGTTTGTCCGCGGGCTTGGTCATCATCCCCCTCGTGGCCGTGCAGCTGGTCTCGGCCGTCTTCCTCCTGAGACGCAAGGGCGAGAGCTCCACAACCTACGAGGTCACGGCCACGGCCGTTCTTCACGTCCTGCAGCTGGGATTCATCAGCCGACACTTCGCTGTGCTCCAGGAGGCGCCGATTGCATCGAAAAGAGCCGAGGTGGTCGAGATGCTCCTGCTGCGCCTGTCCTTTGCGATCACTTCCGGCTGCACGATTTTCCTTACCCAGATATACCTCCTGTTTCGGGATGTTTTCGAAGCCTCGTGGATATGGGCGGCGTACGTTTCTGAGATCTCATTGCTGGTCTCCATCACGTGGGCTTTGTCCACGTTCAGAAGGTCGCTGCCTGAAGTGGACTTCGATCTCGTGGTCATCAGCTGGCCGGGTACCGCCCTGAAACATCTTTGGCGTGGTGGTGAGCTCCTGGTGAGAGCCATAGCTCTCGGCCTGTTTGCATCGATCTACACCCACTGGTTATTTCTTGTACTGGGCCTGCACTGGGCGGCCATGCTCGTGTGTCTCTGCATACCTCTCATGGCCTCGGTCGACTGGGCCGGCGTCGGCTGCGCGAGACGAACACTCAACGGCGCAATGACCTCCTTCGTTTACATTTTCGTCTTCATCAACACCAGCCCGGAGAATGCCGTTTTTCGCTACACCTTCTTCTACGTCATAATCTTTTTGGAGAACGCCACGCTCATTACCGTGTGGCTCATACAGTCCTCTTCGGATGAACTCTCGGACAACGTCGCTTTTGTGTACGTCGCAGCATTTGCATTTGTAACGGCCATCGCGTCCATGATTGTGTATTACAAATTCTTCCACGTGACATCCGTCAAGAGCTCCCCGGAACGCTCCTGCGGGAACGGGAACTGCGATGCCTGCAAAATCGTGGTCGGCTCCCATCACCCTCCCATACCACCGCGCCCCGGGGCAGTGGGAAACTGGTTGAGCCAGTATCAGGCGTCGGCCTACTGCGGGACCGATCTGAAACACGACAAACAAGACTCGCTCTTGGACTGCGAGCGCAGCTCCAACGCGACCATTAGCTCATTGCAAGCACGCCTTCAGCAAAAACTGGCTTCCGTCGACGCCGACCACACGGACTTCAGCAGCGGCAACAGCAGGCATGCCAGTGACGCGCAAGATAGAACCTCGAGCTTCACGGGAAACGATGCTGCGAACGCGTCATCCGGAAACAAATCCGGAAAGAAAGGCGACAAAAAGCAGAAGAGGTGCCTGAATAATTCCGAATCGGAGATCAGTTCGATTCGAACGGATCCCGACAGATCCGAAGACGGCGGATCCCAGAAACGGCCCGTGTGGTTGCCGAGTGGGGACTCCAACTTCACCAACCAGCTGCTGACGTGCAGCCTGGAGACGTTCAACGCCGCCGACGACGAAAGGTCGTCTGTGGCCACCGCCAGTTGTCACGGTCACCGAAAACAGCCGCCACAGGGCGCGACCGCGGATCACAAGGATGCGGTGTACACCAGCATGTCGCTGCCTCGATACGTTGACTACCACTGGTACTCGGACGGCTACAGCACCGACCCGACCGACGACAGTCCGGATTACCCGTTGGCACCTTTCCAGAGATCCGTGTGGTTAGGTGAGCCCGGCGACGAGGGCGGGTGCTGTAACTGTAACTCGCACGGCGATTCGGAGGTCTCGTCAATCATGCGGTCTATAACGACGGTCCCCGAGTCGGATAACGAGGAAGGGGCCGAGAATGGCCACAACCCCGACTTTCACCACCCACCTCGACGTCCATGTCATCACAAAAAATCATCCGCTGCGCATCAACATCCTCAGCCGAATGCTGCAGATGTCTTGTTAAAAATCGAACAATCCACACGCAACGACAGATGGCTGGGCCCGTCACGAGTAGGAAAATACAGCAGAGAAACATTTTCATCGCCTGCCTCTGATCCGAGTTACGGACCCGGTACTGAAAGAAAAAGGTCCCCGAAGCGTAGAGCACATGCCTCGGTGGAGCGTTGCCAAAGTTCCTCAAAACATCATAGCGCCAATCAAAGTGCCATTAGTATTAACAGCAAACTACCTCGTGTCAGCTTAAATTCAAACACCGGTCAAGTTGGCCCTTCTCGGGGCGACCAGCACGCAAAGGCGGATGGTGTCAACGGCGCGGATCATTTCAAAAACAGCCTGGATGAGATACAAGCGGCGAATACGGACCCTCGACTCACAGCTCGCGTCATGGCAGGGGATGATGGACGCTGCGCCGACATTTCGCACCGGAACTCGGTGGAGCCGGAAAAGAGGAGTGACGAGTGCGAACTCTCCGTCCTCGGGGAAGCGATAAACGATTCTGGCGTTTCTCGGGATCCGAGTGGAGATTTCAGTGACAACCAGGAACACGACAGCTGTGAAACTAATTACAATTCAACAGCGTTGAAAAACGTAAGGGATAAACGTACATTGCAAGTAATCCCTAACGTTGACAGTAACGATGGTGGCTTAAAGACACGTGCAGACAATCAGATAGACACGAGAGGCGTGGCTCTGAAAAAATTCAATAATGCTGGGGATGTTATTTATGAAAATATTTGGCAAGTGGGAAAACTGCATTCGTCAAAAAACAGGCATGTTGTGGAGAATGACGTTAGTGTTCCCATAGCGACACAAACCAAGCCATTCTTGTTTCGGTCAACGCCAGCACCTGACGGTTGGTACGTGTGCAGCGAGTCGGAAGACAGCGCACTTCCGCCGGAAATCTTGAATTCTAGCATCGACTGTTTCACTCCTTCGGAGACGGAGAGCGACTTAAGTTTGGAGATAGTTATTTAGACCAAAAATAATTAAAAAATTTAAGACAGAGGATGTATTTAGACCAAAAATAATTTAAAAATTTAAGACAGAGGATGAGAACACTAGAGAGAGGGAGAAGAGAGAGAGAGATTGTGAGAAAGTGAGAGAGAGAAACTGTGAGAGCACTAGAGAGAGGGAGAAGAGAGAGAGAGAGAAACTGTGAGAGCACTAGAGAGAAGGAGAAGAGAGAGAGAGAGATAAACTGTGAGAGCACTAGAGAGAGGCAGAAGAGAGAGAAAGAAACTGTGAGAGGACTAGAGAGAGGGAGAAGAGAGAGAGAGAGAAACTTTGAGAGCACTAGAGAGAGGGAGAAGAGAAAGAGAGAGAGAGAGAAACTGTGAGAGCACTAGAGAGAGGGAGAAGAGAGAGAGAGAAACTGTGAGAGCAGGAGAAGAGAGAGAGAGAGATAAACTGTGAGAGCACTAGAGAGAGGCAGAAGAGAGAGAAAGAAACTGTGAGAGGACTAGAGAGAGGGAGAAGAGAGAGAGAGAGAGAAACTTTGAGAGCACTAGAGAGAGGGAGAAGAGAAAGAGAGAGAGAGAGAAACTGTGAGAGCACTAGAGAGAGGGAGAAGAGAGAGAGAGAAACTGTGAGAGCACTAGAAAGAGGGAGAAGAGAGAGAAACTGTTAGAGCACTAGAGAGAGGGAGAAGAGAGAGAGAGAGAAACTGTGAGAGCACTAGAGAGAGGGAGAAGAGAAGAGAGAGAGAAACTGTGAGAGCACTAGAAAGAGGGAGAAGAGAGAGAGAGAAAGAGAAACTGTGAGAGACAGAGACCATTTTCATTGATGAACATTTTTTTTTTAATATATATTTTAAAAAACATAAAGTGTCTGAAATAATTTTTGTTTGATATTTGAATACGGAGATGCGAGGTTTTTTAAAACTGTATTTTATGTGTGCTTTTATTGATGCTATTCCTATGAACTTTTACCTCAGGCATAAAATTTCTTCAATTTTTAAACACAATTTTTTTATTCTATTTGGTTAATAGATTAATGGACAACCAAAGCGGTCTTACATTTTCCGAAAAGATTAATGGCGTTTTTTTTTGTTTTTTTTTTTTTTTTTTTTTTTTTTTTTTTTTTTTTTTTTTTTTTTTTTTTTTTTTTTTTTTTTTTTTTTTTTTTTTTTTTTTTTTTTTTTTTTTTAATTTTTTTTTTTTTTTTTTTTTTTTTTTTTTTTTTTTTTTTTTTTTTTTTTTTTTTTTAAATTTATTTTCAATTTAAATTTTGAATGGATAAGTTGACTTTTGCATTTGAAGCCATTCACTTCCGAATACGGTGACCCCCAACGATTCTAATGCCTTCTACCTCAGTTGAATAACTATTTTTGCTTCCTGTGACTGTGGTATATTATGTTTGTCAACTGTTGCCGTCTGTAGCAGCGAGGGTAAAACATTCACTGGGTTATGTTATTTCACGTCTAGGTTATTTCACGTCTAGGTTATTTCACGTCTATGTTATTCCATGTATATGTAATTTCAGGGTCATGTCGTGGCATTCAGGTCAATGTTATTTAAGATTTGTGTTATTTCGAGACTATGCTATTTTAGGCCATGTTATCTTTGGTCTATGTTATTTTGGGTTCATCATGTTTTTGAGTCCATGATGTTTTAGGTCTATGTTATTTTAGGTTCATGATATTCTAGGTCCAAGAAAACATTTCTTTTACTGATCGAAATAAATGGAAATTTGTCCTTATTACTTTGTGTATATTAGATTTCAACACATTAATTTATGCATATGTAACCAGACATCATTTTACAATTAGAACAATTTAAACGCAAGGCATCTTAACTATTTCTCTAGCGTAAAAAATTAAGGTATGTAATAACATAAACCTGAACTCTCTTTGTGACAATATTGACTTAATTAGTGATCATTAGATTTGGTAGCCTCTTGGGGGGGGGGGGGGGGGGGGGGGGGGTGGGGGAGAGCACGATGGTAAATTCTGACAGATTGGGGAACACAATAATTAATATATTTTTTTGGTCCCAACTTTAAGAGAAAAATTCCCCCAAATCGAGTTGATCTAGGTACCTGTGATAAAGAGGGTGGGATGTAGCATCCATATTTTGTTTAGTTTTTTAAAGATATCTCTTCAAATAGTTCTTCAAGTGACGGGTTTTCAGTTTGTTTAATATTACTAGCTTTCTGTATTGGTCTATTTAATCGGTGCTTGATGTCAGACGATGCATTCCCACACCAGCAGGTGATGTCAGACGATGCATTCCCACACCAGCAGGTGATGTCAGACGATGCATTCCCACACCAGCAGGTGATAATGACGTTTTAGTGGGCTTCCAATTGTTGCACTGTAAAATAAGTTAATAATTTGATTTTTAAAGCCAAAATTGAAACATTTTTTAAGATAGAAAAATCTTTAGTTGACTTTTTTTATACATCATTTGGCCGTGTTCCTGCCATGTTAGCTTATTATTGATGGTGTCAACTAGTTACTTCTTTTACGTCTAATGTCTATACTGTGAGTGTTCTATGATGAGATCTGCCATTGGGTGATTTCCCTTTTCTGAAATCGACAATCATTTCTTTCGTTTTTTTTTTTTTTTTTTTTTTTTTTTTTTTTTTTTTTTTTTTTTTTATTTTCTATTTAGGGGGGGGGGGGGGGGGGGGGGGGTATCATCAGCAGACATATAATGATTGGAACTGTTATTCCTTGAGCTCTGGATATCAATTCTTTATAGTGTATGCAGGAAAAAAGGGAGAGAACGCAACTCTGGTATTTTAGGTCCATGATATTTCTTTTAGGGTCCTTGATATTTCTTTTAGGGTCCATGATATTTTAGGGCCAAATTATTCTAGTTCTATGCATTTTCATAAGGAGACGTGGCAAAAAAAAGTTTGGGATTTAAAAACTCAATCAACCCCGGTGTAACGAGAACAGCCAAATCATTAGCAACTTATATTTAATGAAACATCTCTAAAGGTCTTGCACCATAACAGGCGTAGAGCGGTAACATCTGATGGAAATT